AGCTGCCTTCTTCATAAGCCCTCACAATCTTATGTTTTTCTCTAAGGATTGTTGATATAGTCGAGCCAGATAAGGGTGGGTCAAAGAGCTTGGCAGCTTCAACGTTCCTTGCGCTGTCCTTGATTGCTGAGACGAGTTTATATTTTTCTTCTAAAGTTAAAGTTCTTCACTTCCTCTTCGTCGTAGATTTCTTGGGATCTGGCTCTTTCTGATTATTTGATGGCGTAGCCACATTCCCAATTTTGTCGTTCGCAGCAATTTCGCTTATTCCATCAGAAAGACCCGTTTTTTCAGGACTCTCCATGTTGGCTGATTCTTTTCTTGTCTTCAACAGCGATTGTAAATGTAACAGCACATGGCTTCAGGTTACGTAACAAAATAGCCTGACGCAGTGTACGTGCGGGAATTTAACTTAATTAGTTAAAAAGTGATGAAATTTCACGCCTTGTCTGATTGTTTTTAAAAGCCGGTGTGTCTCGTATACACTATTCATAGGAAATAGAAGATCTGTGTGGCCTGTGTTGTTTACGGCTGTAAAACGTTAGCGTTGCTGCGAAGTGATTCATTCTGTAATTTCATAGTTTTACAAAGATACATCAATGGAAGCAACAACTTATTCCTTTCGATCTTGTATTCGAGGCTACCATGTGTATAAGGATATATGGGATTCAGTTGTTGGTGAAGTTCTGGATTGCGAGGTAAGACGTGTTTAACAATGTCAAATGTAGAGAACAGAACGTTGGTGATAAAAACAAACCCCTTAGTTCTTTGAAAATTTGGCGTTACAGTATTGATGAATGAATTGATCTCCGCAACACGCGTGTTTTTTTACGCAGCACGAGCCTGATAACCCACACGACACCCATGCTGTTGCCGTTAAACGGGTTCAAGATCAAGGGGGCATGCAGCAGATCGTAGGTCATGTGCCATTGACACTGTCACGTGTATTTCACTTGTTCTTAAAACACGGAGGACAAATCTCAGTGGAAGTGACTGGTAAACGGAGAAACAAGGGCATTGGACTAGAAATTCCGGCTACTTATTTGTTTTATCACAAGAAGCCTTCGAAAGTGAAGAAGTTCATAGAATTAATAAGAGACAAAGAAGAGAGCAGAAGTTAATTGATGTCGAAATACTGTATAACGCCAATGTCTATGACATAATAAACCGTTGACTGATAGGTTGCTGTCAAAGGATTTGTTGACTGTTGATCTGTACAGCGTTTTATCTTCTGTCGCGTGTTGAGAAAACCGGAATAAAGCAAGCTGTGAATTCTACTCTACGCTCAAATCTGTCGTTGTTACTGACTGCGAGCGAGCAACAGGACAAAATATTCGTTATAGCGAGGTAAATTGTGCGTTGGGACCGTCAAAATCTTTCGTTATAGCGGGGATTTTGTTATAGCGGGGTTCGTTTCAACATATTTTACTGTAAATCTGCCGGGCTTTCAAATGTTGTTCTTTATAAAGGGGTCTTCGTTATAGCGAGGTTCGTTATAGCGGGGTTCCACTGTATGCCCAATCTGGTAAGATGTTTTAGTTATTATGTGTAGATTACAATAATTCAGACAGAGCTATCGAAAGAGAAAATGGTTACAAGTAACCTTTAACACTTAGTCGGTCTATTTTCATACAAGTTAAAAAGGCCCCAAGACGCTCGTTTTTATGCGATCCAGGAAAAAACAAACCAAGGCCAGATATGCAAAAGTGCTAGAATGACTTGGCAGGACTATGATGGAATGAGGAGGTAGCGCAGTTTGATGATGTCGCCAAGTGTTCGATTTAAACTAATGGAGGCACTTTTCTTTTGTAAGGGCTGACCCAGCCTGTTCAGAGAGCCTCTATTTTCTCTTCAAAGTCCGTCGAGCACGCGTGATAAAAAATAAACCGCGGGTAGGGGTGGGGGAAGAAAAATAACAAATGGTATTTAAAAGGGTAGGGTGTTGGACCTCGGGGCGATCCTCCTTGTATGACAATTTGTTATGTACCCCCCCCCCCCCGGGGGTACATTTGCAGTATTATGTTACCATTAATTTTCCTCTTCTAGTTCTTTCATCAAATAATGTCTCACTCTTTCGTTTGTCACTTTGATTTTTCCCAGTCAGGAGTTGATGAATCAGCCTGTGTCCATGGTCTGTGGACACAGGTACGAAATAGGAAGGCCCGGAATTAATTTTAAACAAAAAGAGCGAGAATTTTCAGGGCAATTAGAGAATCACAAGTAAGTGAATCAGAATCGAAATTCTTTGCCACGAGAATGGCCACTTGACATTTCCTCGTGTTACATTTGCAGGTCGCATATTCACCTGCATCTTGGCGAGTGCCAGAGACGCTTGTATAAATGCGCAGTTACTGGGTGCAATAACACGTCTCTGCCCCACGAGCCCACGCTAGAGGGCCAGGAACGCGTGAACATCTGTCTCTAAGAACATCTTCTTTGGAGGCTAGCATAGCACTCGGCATGCCCTTAAAAGCATTAAATGAGCGCAAGAAAGAACTAGGCGCGCTAGTACCTGGTGCCTGGAAGTATTATTTAGTAACTAGTATCAGTAAATTGTTTGAATTTTAAGAACTTAGATAATAAGTACCAATAGTTTATTGGAGGTCACTTACACAAACACGAACACAAGCAATGTTTGAAAGGGATGTCACTAAAACAGGGAACGGGTAGTAAGGAACGAGCACGGGAACGGGGATATGGAAAATAGGAACAAAACCTAACTTGAACCCAGCCCTAACAGTAATTTCATTCACAGTTTTCTGTTTCGTTCCCATTTTTAATTTTTCCTGCTTGTCGTTCCCGGTCACCCGTTTCTGAATGTCCGGACATTTATTTTCTGATTTATCGATCTGGTTTTTATTACTTCACTTTTCCTCGTATTGGACAGGCTGGCGAAAATATTGGGATAAAGTTGCAAAAGATAGAGTTTCAGATGGACTCTCAAGCTCGCTGATCAAACAGAGGGAAAAGATCCAGCAAGCCCATTCTTCTGCTTTGAACGGTGCACGTTTCGATGCATCTGGCGGAGAACATGCACCCCCAAAAAATTGGAATTGGGACAAGTGATTTCCTCCAAACCGCTCACTGTCCGAGCAAGGTCGGTGCATTTTATGGAGATACCATGAGTTAACATGATCTAAAAGAGGAGTGACCAATTCTTGCCCCAAATCTATCTAATGCCTCAAAAATTTTCAGGCTAATGGAAAGCTGTACATTTCCATTCAAACTATCTATCCCGTAGAATAGAAGTTTAATGATCAATACTTTTTCTATCAACTTACATGTTGCTAATAAGCACCTTGTCTACCGGGGTAATTGAGCACCTAAACCCGCAGTTTTTAATTTATGGTTATGAAGTAATCTGTAAATGTACACTTGACATGCCAATAATGGTTATTTATTTATCTTTTTTGTTTTATATGTTTTCCTCAGGTTCGGACTAATCAGAGACGGTGAAGTGGATAAAATATTCAAAACTCGTTCACCAGAAAGTATATGCGAGGGAAGTTCATTTAGCACCGAGGCAGACTTAGGTCGCCTCACTGATGTACAAGAACTGATAATTAAAGTAATTATATTGATCTACAGCTATGAATAAAAATATAAACTATAATTCGAGATGCACATTTAAAGCTCTCATTTCTAATTACAAATCGCTAGTGAAAACAAACCTTAAAGAATCTAAGGATCTGTAACCGATCAGCCGTCAATTCAAAGCAAGTATGCAAGAGAATTTAAGTCTTCCAATTGCCGCGTTTCATCGATTTGTACGGAATCATGCTTAGTTGACTTAATTGATTTAATTTAATTCCCCTTGTGAGCGGAAGGAAACTTCGTTAAATTGCTTTGTTTACAAAATACATCGAGCAGGTTACAAAAATCACATTCGATCTGGGTCACATACCAGTAACAAGGATGGTTAGCTCAATTTCGGAATTCTATACTTATATATGCGTGTGTAGTGGTATAAAAACAAAAGTGAAAGAATAAATAATACAATAATGTTAATTATTTACAAGAATGCCAAATACATCTTTTTCGGGGATTTTTCAATTTTATTAAATAAAAGATAGTCCATTTTAGACACGTTTAAGAGTTCTTTATTCTCTCCGTGTGGGTGAGTGTGTAGGTATGTGGATGAGGGTGAATGAATGAGAGGGGGTGCTGATGGCAATTGGCTTAAGAATGTATTACGATGGGACCCGTCCAAAAATTGCGCCGGCGCCCTCCCCACCAGACTTTTAGCCACTTCCTTCGATTTTTAATGGTGTTCACTTCACTCGGTTAATTCTTCTGCCCCTAGTAATAGCCATTATTGGTTGAGACTATTAATTTTCTTTTATCTGTCATTACTACCTTGACGTTGTCACGTTCGCTATTGGTTCTTCAAGACGAAGCAAAATCTCGAGCTTCGAAGGCCAGTTTAACCTCCTCTGTCATGGATGGGTCATGAAGGATCCTTGAAGGATCTATGCCGAAGCGATTTCCACATCTAGTACCTTATTCACTCGCCCTTGAGTTGATTTCCATCTGCGAAAGATTTAGCCCGTACTGCTCGAGAGTTGCATTCCGTGAAACTGAAAAAAAAAAATGATGACTTGGACTAGAACCAAAAATAACAAAAAAAGGGAGGATGAAACATAGATCCTGAGTGTGTGGCCAGTCTACCGTTTCTAAGCTACGCTGGCATTTAAGAAGAGGTATTACATTTTTGTGCATTGGATGTTTTTAACAAATGCCTAATAGGATAGAACAAGGTAGAAAATCCCTGTTCTTTAAGACTTAGTTCCCAATATTTTCACCTGGTCAAGGAAGTTTTCAACATTATGAGCTAAATCAAAGGCCGTACTGGAGCAAAACGGTTCCCATCAAGGAATTCACCAAAATCATAAGGCATTTACCGTCTAATCGGTGTCGGCACCGTATTAAAGTAGTGGGTTTTTTAACGTTCATCTTGTCGACGACGTTTTGCATTCTAAGGAACGTTGCTAGTACCGATAATATTTTCATGACCTCTCAATTGCCACTTTTCGGCCACAAATTTGAAGAATTAGTTATTTAAACTTCTCATGGCATATGCCAAAGGTGTGATAATTATAGAAAGTCAAAAGAGTTGTATTTACTTTTTGAAATTCCGAGACCGCTTTGATATGTTGCCGATCAGTTTGAGCTTGATGAACAGCATACTCGACCAGACGAGAAATTAACTCTTGAGTTTAAGCTCAAGCCACGAGATGACGCATCAATTTTTGTTTGGCACATGTAAAGTGTACATCGATAGGTGAAAAACAGAACCGTCCCGGGAGAACCGTAAATAACATTTTAATATTTCATGAGATGTAACGATTGCTTTAAAAGTCATTCACACATAACAGACGATCAGTATAACAATAGATGCATGACATTTCAAATTATTAGAATTGACAACATCATCTTTTTAAAGCTAAATAAGCATAATCGGTTTAGACACGTGCACCACAGACGTTTTCCTCCTCCCGACTCTCGATTTTTAGTGAGATCTCGATATGCTATATCGTTTTTACTCTAAATGAACCTTTGTCAACTGTTGGACTTAGAAAGGGGGCAAACAGAAAATTTGATTCGCTGGCTTCAAGGCAGAGCTCTATTACCTAACCCTCTCCGTTGTCGACAGTGCAAACAAGACATGGTGCTCAGGAGAAGAGGCGATCAGCACATCGATGGCTTTCACTGGTGAGTTTTCGAACCTTTTCTCTTTAAAGCAATCGTGACTCTCACCTGTTTCCTTCAGTTTTCTCCCTTTTCTGTTACAAAAAGAAGTGAGCCTTTAGATTGTCAAAAAGTAGGATAATGCCTCACTCAATGGGTAGATCGCTGCAACCTTCAAGTCGATGTGAAAAGTTTGCCTAGCCAACGCAACAGGTGTTATCTTTGATTTGATAAAATCGTATACTATCCAATCGAACCGAGACGAAGAGCTAGCACAGTGAAGTAGAAGGAAAAGTTAGTTGAATTATCGTTTTCCACAGCATCTGTGGATGGAAATCTCGCAAGAAAATCTTACGCCTGAGGGTAAAGGGGTGAAAATAAGTAAAGAGACTACCTCATGCCTACTTTGGATTTCAAGTCCATAACACCAAATCGAGACAAACAATTGATGGTCAAGCATAAAGATCTTTGACTCAGGCAAAGCTGCTGCGGCGTACCAAACCACTGACGGATATTTTGGCGTATTATTCCAGTCTGCAAGTTTTCATGAGTTACCGCTCTAGAACGCTCAAAAAAACTTCCATGCAACACCAAAGGTCAACTTTATTTTTCACTAAAAGTATATAAATCCACTGAAAGTTTCCGTTTCCAGTTATGGATTTCCGCCTGCTACTTGATTTCGCGAGATTTCAGAAGTTGCGTGCCGCTGGTGCGAAAGGTGTTGGTACAATTCCTTGGTGATTGGTTGATTCGTAATTGTCGCAATAGGGCAATTCCTTTGTTTCCCAGTGGTTTCCAAGAGGATACTAAGAGAGTTTAAAACAAATTCCAAAAAATGAATTTGTGTTTAAATGAAAAATTCTTTTGCAAAGGTTCACAGTGGAAAATTCTATTCGGGTCCGACTGGAAAATATGGGACCCGGTATCCCAGAAAACGATAAACATCCCGAAATATATCGGTCCCGACTACAACTCGGACCTGATTTGTTATTGTGTTCGATTAAACGAAATCGGGTCCGAGTTAATATTCGGGTGCGATTAAAAAAAATCGGACCCTATTACCCAGAAACCGGTAAACATCCAATTTAAGAGACTTGCTGGCAAATTGTTGCTGTTTATCTCGTGCATTAGACTAGCTACAGTTTTATATACAGAAACGACACTGGTAACATGTCAGTGTCGATAAATAGGGGAATTGGTTGTTCCAAATATCCGTAAAATACATCACGTAAAAGCGCTTTCTTTTGGAGAGTCAGAATGACACTAGGCAGCAATAGCTTAGGTTAGCTGAGGGTGGGTTAGGAGCATCAAATGCGTAATCCCCGGGGTTGGGGGGTGGGTGTGGGCTGGTGGATAATAAGTTGTACTGAGTAATCTTTGGAGGTGCACACATTGGTGAAAACAGGATGGAAGTTATCTCTGGTTTTGAATGAAAAAAAAAATTGTTTAAAAGTTCAGGCAACCTGCAAACCTTTTTTAAGATACCATTTGTTTTCTGTTTTTCTTACGAGACAAAAGAAGAAACTGCTCTACCTTGCTTGTGATTTTCTTGGTGCCCTTGTTTACCAGTTAACAAATTACGGTATACATACATGTATATCTTGATTGTTTTGTTCATTGTCCCTTTTATTTTCCCTTCCAAGCGTTCTACTGAATGTCATATTACAGTATTTTCAACACCTATTATAGTCTTAAATGCAACCATTGTGGTGACTTTTTAAAGCTATTAAGAAAATGCTGGCCCTGAGCACCCGCAAAGTTTTGTTTATTTTTACTTCTCCTAGCGTTAGTTATTATGCTATTGTGAAAGTG